CATTGGGTTAGATCGCCTTTCTTTGCTGAGGGAATGGTGGTGGATGGTGTCCAGCTCCTACTGTGTCTCCACTGTGAGCACAGCCCTCCTTCTCCAGCCCGATCGCTGGTTGCTTGACTGGGCGCTGCCTGGACACTTTCTGTCTTTATTGGCTGAGTCCCTCTTTGTGACTCTGATGCTATAGTGCCAAGGGACTAGTCTCAGGCTTGCTGTGAGAACCTTCTCCCTGCTCTACAGAGGCCATGTGGCTTAGCACCCAGGAGCTGGAGTCCTGGAGTCAGACAGGCCTGGGCTCCATTTCCAAGTGATTGGAGCCCTGAACAAATTTTTTTAACCTCTTGAAGCCTCTTGTGTGTATGCATGTATGTAACAGTACCTGCCTTATGGGGTTATTGATACTGTAATGATGAACTGCACCAAGCAAATACCTTGTGTCCGACCTATAGTAAAGTGTGCTGCAGTCACACATATGCAGGCCCATTGTTTTCAGCTCCTAAATAACAACTTTACCACAGGCCATAAGAAACGCACAGTACACCTGTTTATGAGTAATAGAGAAAATTCAAGTGGCACCTAAGACCAGTATGGACACTTGCTTGGCTCAGACATGACACTAAATGCTCCTATTAGCTGTCTTTCTGCTCCAGCAGAGGCAGCTTGGGCAGGATGAGGGCCTTCTTCCTCATCCTTGTAGCTAGTCCTTCCACATTGCTGACTGCAGCTCAGTGGTGTTGAGGGAACTGGCTTCTGCCTGCAAAGATTCTGGTATTTGATAGTTTAGTGATGTTTGTTTTCTTCTCAGTTGGTTTGGAACTCTGAAGGGAGCTCTCACTGCTGTCGAGTCGGATCCGACTCATAGCGACTCCTCCTTGGGTTTCCGAGGCAGTATCACTACGGAGGAGGAGTGGCTGGTGGGTTTGAACCGCTAACCTTCTGGTTAGCAGTCAAATGCCTTAGGCACTATGCCACCAGAGCTCCCTTGAAGGTAGCAATAGTGATGGTAATTAGCTCTCTTAAATCTGTCAGGTTGGTGGAACCACGACAGGAAATAGCTGCCTTAGAGTCCTGTGATACGGTGTATCTCGCACACTGTGTTATGACCGTAGACTCATAGAACATTGGGGCCAAAAGGATCTCAGGCTCCTCTCTAGCCAGGTGTGTCCCTCTAGATTTGCAAACCGTAGCTTCTCCACAGTGGGCTTAAGGGGCAGGGAGACAGTAAGGGGCAGAACAGTGCATATGAGCTAGTTCTAAGACCTGAGGTTGGGAAACACCAATCTGGTGCAACCTGGACATTTTAATGGGCATATTAGGGTTCTCTGGCTAACTTCAAAAGGAATGTGCTGGGATGCTGTTGGGAAAGGGGTACATAAGACTGATGGAAGGGTTGGGGTTGGGGTTGGGAAGGGGAATGGGCAGGAACTAAGGTGCTGGGATGTAGGAAGCATAGCAAGACCTCGTGGCTGAGCACCCTTCCTCTGCTTCTCCTGGGGCTGGAACTACTTCCACCCGTCCATCCCTCTGTCTCTTGGTCATATTGAGAGAGTGTCTGATTGGCTGAGCATGGATTCTTTCCCACTTTTGGCTGACCTAGGAGCTGGCCCCCTCGGCTTCTTGCTTTCTGGTTCTCTGGATATGGGTACCTGGAATTATTCTCCTTATTCTCCCACCAAAACCACACATAATGGAGAGAGGCAATTGAAAATAGAAAAGTAGAGTCTTGCTAGGGAGGGAAATGGCTGCTGTGCAGACAGACGTTACCAGATGACTCCTATAGTGGGGCAGCTAGACCACCCAGTGCCTGGAACAGTTTGTTAAGAAGGGACATGCATGAGAATCTGGGTGGACAGGCAAGGGAACTCACCCCACCCATGGTCAAGGAGGGCCTGTACCAGAGAGGAGACACATACAAGATGCCAGAGGATCGTGAGCTGGGTGGTTGGAGGGAGAGATTGTGGTAGGGCTGGAGGGAAGAGTGTTCTAGGCATGAGGCTGGAGGCCAGAGGGTTTCATGGCCTTCAGAGATGAAGAAGTGGGGAGAGACTTGGCCACAGAAAGGCTAGGGCAGGACTGGCTGGAGCTTGTGCCTCGGGCTGGTCCCGTAGCACCACGCTGCCTCTGTTGCTGCCGAAAACTAGTCCTGTTTTTTGGGGGTAACTGGTTGCTGAGCATAAGAGAAGTTTATTTTCAGGTAGTGATTAGGAAGGAGATATTATAGCACAAGGACTTTTGTGAGAAACAATGAGAGCATCAACAAGTTGAAAGGAACATGGGGGTGCCCCTGACATAAGAAGCTGGCGTGGTAAGAGAGTAAGAATCGAGAGAATGTGAACATCAGAGCGGATGGTTGGTTTCTGCCGTAAGAAAGTACAACAGTAGGAAGTGTGTTTTGCTTTTTCTTAAATAATACCATGAAAACATGTTTCTGAAAAAATGAAGCTGGACACCAAATGAGGTGGTGGGAGAGAGGAAAGGCCGTCTCCCTCACACAAGGTGTGTGGAAAGTCCAACACATCAGCATGCTTTTCATCTGCCCACGGGATACCTTTTTCGAATGGTACCCAGGAGGAGCCTTTTCAGGGGAAAATGTGAATTGTCACTTTCAGTAGGGAGGTGGGACTTGCCACTGTGTCATACTGGGTGGACAGGGCTGGTTCCTGCCCGAGGAGAGTCCTGTCACTCAGTCAGTGAGTGGCAGTTCTTGAGTGCCTGACTGGCATGTGCCTGACTTTCCCAGAGTTGAGTACTTTGTAGGGTAGAAAGGGTTTCCCTCAAGGTTGAGGACAAAGCTTGTCCAGAATAGCCAGGCTCCAACACTCATGCCCCTCTGAGGAGTTTGCACAGCGTGGAGGTGGGAGGAAGCACTCACACACTGCGTACGGGCGCTGGTGGCAGAGAAGGTCGCCTGGAACGGGTGCCATTTGTGTTGATGCTAGTGATTTACGGGCAGAGATGGGAGTGAGAAGGAGGGGAGGGCATCTCAGAGAGGACGGAGCCCGAACAAAGGTGACGAGGCAGAACGTGTGAGCACCTCTTACTCTGGATCACGCTTTTCCCTCCATCACGGCCACATCCGTTGCCGTGCCACGTCACGACCCTGCTGTTTCCATGTACCCCACCCACTGCCTCCCGTTGATTCTGACTCACGGTGACCCTAGAGGACAGAGTAGAACTGCTATATTGGGTTTCCAATGCCGTAAATCGTTACAGAGGCAGACCGTCTCATCTTTCTCCCGTGGAGCAGCTGGTGGGTTCAAACCGCTGATCTTTTGGTTATCATCTATTTATTATTACCAATATTTTTTATTTAAATTATTTAATTTCTTTTTGACTGACATAGTTTTAGTTGGAAAGATTCAGGTCCCTGCTGTAAATTGCATGTTAGTATTGCTGTTGTTTTCCTTGTCATTAGTGTCTCTGGGCCCCATCAGCTTGACCCTTTGGGTGGAGTTTATGGACCTGTGCTGTAAGTGTCCCCTTTACGTGACCATGTCCTCCACTCCTACCAACATGATCTGATATTTTTTTTGTAACTTTAATTATGCACAAATAGATTAGAAATACATTTTCTCTGTAACAAGTCAAGCAATATAGGCAGAGCCCAAGTGCCCGGCCTTGGTCCTCTCCCTATCTCAGTCCCTTCCTAGTGACATCATCATCTTGGTGGGCCACCTTCCAGGCCTTTTTCTTTGTATACATTTATATGTACCTGTAGGAAAGTGGCAGTGTTGTCTGGTTGGGTTTATTATTGTTTTTAACATAAATATATCATTCTGTCTGTATTTTTCTCTATTTCTTTTCTAAGGTGCACATATTTTTAAATCAATTAGTTAATTATTTTCGTAAATTAAAACATTGAAGAACAGTAATACACACTTTTGGTTGAAAAAATATCAATTCAAAAGGGTAACTCCATGACACAAAGCTGGCCATGTTCCTCCTTGGTTTCGAACCCTGAAAAGGCTCCTCATGGCCGCTAGGAGGCAGGGCACACCTTCCCTGGCCTGCAGGGCTTTGGGGCACCTAGCTTCTGCTTTCCTCTCCAGCCTCATTGGTGGTCCTTCTCTTGCCAGTTCCTGTCATTCCTGACAGCCCCTGCTCCTGTGTCCATTTACCCGAGCCCCCTGCAGTACTGGGTTGGGTGGCCCTCGGGCTGCTGACCCTGGTCAGTGATAGCTGGCTTCCTGGTCCGCCCCTGGGCTGTGAGCTTCCTGCTGGTGGGGCAGCATGAGGCAGGCCAGTACACAGGTGTGGGAGACCTGCTGGCTGGGCCCCTGTGCTGGTCCCACCAGTGCCTCGTGGTGCGACCCTCCCTGCACCTCAGGCTCTGTACCTGCCTGGCTGGATGGCTGAGGGGAGGATCATTTCATTCCTGTGTGAAAACTGCTCAGGCCAGGGCCTCTCCCAAGCTGAGTTCACTGTGAGATGCTGCCCTTCACTGTGGCACCACCAGGGCCCAGCAGAGGGCCTGACATGATTGTGATCAGTCATGTATGTATGTCGAAAGACAGGAGAAATGAATGAAGATACACCTAATACATGTGTGAGGATGTATGGAGGACAGAGACTTCGCGTCAGGGAGCTGGGGAGGAGGTGGAGGAGTTGGGATGTGATGTTGATGGCAGCTGGAGCTCACTGCAGGTTCAGAGCACACTGAGTAGTACGTGAAGGTGCTGACTGGGGAATGGTAATCAGGCAGCAGGGAACGGACTGGGTGGAGGGGAAACAGTCTGGGGGCTGTGAGCTGAAGAACAAACTACCTCAGTCTCAGGGACTATTTCCTTGGGCCTTTCTACCTCATGAGGCCCTTGTCTGGCCTCTGCTTGTCTTTAAATGCCCCAGGAAGCAAAAAGCATGCAGTGTTAGTATTCTCCCAAGAGGGCCAGGGCCTTCACCCATTTCTGACTTTGCTGTCCTGTGTGTTCAGGTTCAATAGAATGATCGAAAGAAGTTTCATGTTTTTGGTGAAGCTCCACCCCTTTTTGCCTGTTTATTTCTAGGCAATGCAACTGTCGAGAAGTTGGAGGACTTCATCAACAACATTAACAGTGTGTTGGAACCCTTGTATATTGAGGTAAAGAAAGGGGTCACAGAAGATGATGGGAGACCCATTTATGCTCTGGTAAGTGTAAGACAAGGAGCCCTGGTGGTGCAGTGGTAAAGCACTTGTCTGCTAACTGAAAGGTTGTGGGTTGGATCCCACCAGCCACTCTGTGGGAGAAAGGTGTGGCAGTCTACTTCCACGAAGATTTACAGCCTTGGAAAGCCTATTGGGCAATTCTGCTCTGTCCTGTGTTTTTGCTGTGAGCTGGAATTGACTCCGTTTTTTAAGTGCAAGACAGAGAGCCCTCTTGTGGCAATTTGTAAAGAAATGCACCTGAATGTGCCTGAGAATTCGCTTCCTTGTTTGTTGAGAGTGAAAGTGTACCTGGTTTTATCTAAGGGCCTGAGGGAAAGAAACTGAAACTGGCCCCACCTCAGTGCCCCAACCCAGCTTTCTAGCCTCACAACAAGCCCTGAGGTCTGTAATAGTCTGGTTTTGTTTTCTTTAAAAAATCAAGACTTTGAATGACATTTCGGGCTCACCTGATTGTCAGGTCCAATCAGAACTAGTGCTCAAGTCTCTTGACCTCAGTGCTCATTAACTGTACCCCACGGCAGCCCCGCCCATCCAAGACATGGTAGTGTGCGATTGACTTTGCCTTTTGATAGTTCTCTGCAAGAAGTCACCCCAAATGTGTAGAATATTAGGATTTCATTTGGACCAATACGTAGGCACTGGGAGGAGGAAAATGTGTGGGAACATTGATGGTTGAGACTCATTTTGGGCATTCTTGGCTAGGAAGTCACCCTCAGTCTTGTCATAGGAGATTGGGTGGACCCCTGTAAAGTTACTGCCCATTCACTCATAGATCTTACCAACTAAACCCACACTCAGAAAGGAGCCCTCTAGCCCAGAGTTTCCCAAACCCTGTTCCACAAAAAAAAAAAAAAAGGGCTATGCAATCAAACACCTGTAGAAATGTTGGGTTAAACAAAGGAAAGCAGATTTCTTTGCCACCATATTTCTTAATGTCTTTTGTGTTAGGAAGGAGCTCTGGTGGCATAGTGGGTAAGGCATCTGGTGGCTAACCCCAGGGTCAGCAGCTGCTCCATGGGAGGAAGATGGGGCAATCTACTTCTATAAAGATTTACAGCCTTGGAAACCCAGCGGGGGTTGCTATGAGTCGGAATCAACTCGATGGCAGTGGGTTTGGGGTGTGTGTGTGTGTGTGTGTGTGTGTGTGTGTTGGGAAAGTCCACTGGCATATAGATAAGTTCTCACATTTATCTGAGTCTGGAAAACACTGTACGGCCTTTGGAGCCTTAAACTCTCTGAGTCAGGCATGTTGACTGAGCTAAAGTCTGGGATACTAAACTGGTTACAAATCCATCCCTGTGTCCCTTCCTCTCTCCCTCCGTCTGCAGTGCCTGGACCCAGATACATGGTGCCTGTTGAGGGAGGGCAGGAGGGAGGGCTCACCGATGAATTAGTGCACAGTGACCTGCATGCTGACTTATTCTTTTAGGTGAATCTTGCAACAAGTTCAGTTTCCAAAATGGCATCAGATTTTGCAGAGAATGAACTGGATCTATTTAGAAAGGCTGTAAGTACAGTAACTGCCATTGCCCATCAGCATGGCTTCTTATGGGAAACTTCTCTCTTCATCATTAGAAATGGAAACTATAGTCTTTGAGGGTCGAAAGCCCTTTCTTCCTGGAATTCACAGCTTCTACTGCTAGGTGATTTCTGGGGAGGCCACCAATGGCTTCCCAGGAAAGAAAGGTTGTTACAGGCTTTACCCCTGGCTGGGTGAGCAACCACTGGGCCTTGTGTATTTCACGCAGGGGACCAAGTGGTACTACGTGGCAACTCAGAGTGTGTCCTGGACCAGTGGCATCAGCATCACCTGGGAGTGTCTTTGTTAGAAATGCAGAATCCCAGTCCCCTCCACAGACAGGGAATCCAAATTTGCATTTTAACAAGGCCCCTGAATCATTTTCACATTCACAGTTGAGACACACTGATCCACCAGGCTTCTGAACTGTTCTCTCTGTTCCTGTTGTCTGATACCTGGCTGGGCACCTGGCTAAGACAGTGGCTCTCGGCTCTGGGTGCACATTTTGTAACTGGGGAGTTGAGTATACTTCAGCTGTTCCGACTTCACTCCAGATCTGTTGAGTGAGAATCTCTGAGGATGAGGCCCTGGACTCGGCCCTTCTTAAGGCTCCCTGCAGGCTCTTAGTGGTCAAGGCTGAGAACCAGTGCTTGAAGTTGAGGGATGCACACTTGCGTGTGTGGAGGACAGGTTTCCTGTCAGCCCCTCCTGGCTCAGAGTCCACATTGTTTAAGTGGCTACCAAGCTGTCTCTCTCCCTTGCTCACTCACCACTGTGCTCAGGAACGTGGTGCCTGCCCTGTGCTCTCTCTGGCTCTGCTCTCTTGTCTTAGCTTCAGCCTGCCTCTCATGCCGGTGCTGCCTCATTTATTTCATCATTTATTCTCTAGTTCCTCTACTTTTAGGGAGGTGGGGTTGGGAGCAAGAGAAATGAGGTGTGACCCTTCTTGATGTTTGGACATTAAGATGATGTATTTGGGATGAAGTTGCAGGAGTGACCACTGAGCTAGCCTTCTGACTTCTGGGCACTTACGGCTTTGGATACATGGGTTAAATTGTCTTGCTGAGGGTGGTACCATGCACTCCTCTGCCTGTGATCTGAGTGCTCCAGTTGTCCTGCATTGTAGTATTGCTTTACAGTTGTTTCTGTGGATTCGATGGCTGACCACAGTACCTGCTCTTTTTTCAGTTGGAGCTGATTATTGACTCAGACTCTGGCTTTGCATCTTCCACAAACATTTTGAACCTGGTTGATCAACTTAAAGGCAAGAAGATGAGGAAGAAGGAAGCTGAGCAAGTGCTACAGAAGTTTGTGCAAAACAAATGGCTGATCGAGGTACTCAGTCCGGTTTCCCTAGCTTGGCTCACTTTCTTCTAGGCTACATAATGATTTTCACTCCAAAACCACATTCGTATCCGGATGTCTCTTAAGCTAGGGCCTTTCAGGTCTGTTACCTGCTTCTGTGCCCATAGCAGCCCTGTGAGGAGGATTTGGACTCCTGTCCATGAAATGGTTTACCCACATGATCTGTCCGGGGCATCACAGCCAGGTTGGCATTGACAAGACTTACACCCAGCTTTCCACACTCCAGGATTCAAGCCCTTGATCCACAGACCATGCAGGAGTGTAATACAGTGGGTAAGAGCACGGCCTGAGTGCCAGGCCCGGTCTAAAGCCCTGAGCTATGTGACCTCGTGTTCCTCTTCTATAAGAGGAGAATAATAGCATTAATTTTAGGCTTGTGTTTTGGTTCTCTAGTGCCGCTCTAACAGAAATACCACAAGTGGGTGACTTGAACAAACAGGAGTTTATTCTCTTACAGTTTAGGAGGCTAGAAGTCCAGGTTCAAAGTGCCAGCTCTAGGGCCTGGGTGAAAGCCCCTCAACCTTGGGCTTCAACTTTGCCTCCTGCTCCCAGCCACTGAGGCTGGAGGCTTCTCTTTGGGCAGTCAACTTCCATATTGATACTGTCTTGGAAACCCAAGGAGGGGTCACTCTGTCGCTATGAGTAGAAATCGACTCAACGGCAATGAGTTTGGTGTTTTTTTTTTTTTTGCTGGCTGCTGAAGCTGACAAACCTGAGTTTGACAAGTGAAATGGCACAGTCCCAAGATTATCAAGCAATATGTCAGGCTAGTAGTTCAAGTCCAGAGATAGTCCCAAAATCACCAGGAAACATGGCAGGGTGCTGAATGAAGACTTGGCTACATGCAGAGTGCAAGCGTACCAGAAAGCTGCAGAGATCTTTCTCAAAGCTTCCTGTTATACACTGGAAGCAGACCACATCCCTAAGGCAGCTACTCAGCTGCTCACAGTAGATTCCACCATGGTGTTGACTACCAGTCTCATCATGGGGAGTAAATACATCCAGCTGCCCAGCCACTCAGAACCAGGCCCAGCCAAGTTGACACATAACCTAAACTACCACAGCTTGTAACAGCAAAAGTGAGACCAAAAACTAAACCCAGCCTCTTGCCTTCAAGTCAGTTCTAACAGCACCCCATGTGTTGTAGAATAGAGCTACTGTGTCCGGCCTTCTTGGCCATAAGCTTTATGGGAGCAGATCACCAGGCCTTTCTTCTGTGGCTCTGCTGGATGAGTTTGAGAATCAAGCTTTATGCTAGTACACCCACTCCTTACTTATCAACATGATCAGGTTCCAAACACCAAGTTATTATTCAAATATTGCTGTTACGTGAAATCGGAATATGACCTCATCAGATCACCAAATGGAGGATGACTACATCCGCACATAACTGCCAAAGTATGCCATTATATAACTGCCAAATGACAACATTACATAACTGCTAAACCAGTGAGAATCATGACCCCGCCACGTTGACACATAACCATCACAGCGAGCATTACTCCTGCCTCACTCTGGTGTTCATTACTGCCAGGTGTACTTTGTTAATGCACAAAATAGTCTGATGGTAGATTTTTTAGTAGTGTCATAAATGCAGAATGTTGGATAATAAGATAAATGAGAAGTAGGTATAGTTGAGTGCTAACTTCTTGCACCACCCAGGCAGCTAAGAAGTGTGACAGTGAATGTAAAGTGCTCATTGCTGGGCCTCTGACACGTGGAGTAAGCTTGCAGAATTCATCGCTATTATCATTATTGTTACTGTCAACATTTTATTACTCAGGATCAGTACTCTTGTGTGCTTCCACTTAGACACTGATCCGTAAGGAGCAAAGAGGAAATGTAGAAAAACTTTTTGAGAGGGAACTCTGGAAATCTCTGAAAAGGCTAGACTGAGGCTGGAGTTTCTAGACACTCTCCCATGTCTGGTCCTAGTGATTTAGTGCTTGGAGTAGAACAAATGTTTCCCCTTTTTGTCTGAAAAGGAACCACTGTTTCCAAGCAGCCCAAGAGCCACACATGCTCAGTGTCTGCCCATTCTGTCCCCGCTGCCCCACAAGTGCCTGTGACAAGACAGGATGGGCTCTGTGTGGCCTGGAGCCTCCTCACTTGGTGGTCAGACGTATGGCCTAGGCGGCTGCTTGTAGCTCCTGCGATTCTTCACTTCCCTTTCTTGGAGGGCTTTCTCCTGGTTCCTTGTAGTTACAGTGGTCTCAGCTACTGATTTCTAAGTGGGGTGGGCTCATCTCTGGCAATCTAACCTGAAATACTCAGTTCCTGAGGTGCCTGATAGGAGAAAGGCAGGAGAGGCCACCTGAGAAGGGCAAGACGGGAGGGGCGCTCCCAGCTCGTGCCAGGATCTGCTGGCACGTCCACACCCACCCTGCCCTTGAGTCCTCCCCGCTGTTGGCTATGATGGTGGTGGAGAGCTCTGGTTTCAGCTGAACAGACTGCGACTGACTGGTGACAGAGCCTGAGTTCAGAGCCCAATTTGGGTGACCACAGCACCCCATTGATTGCGTTCTCGTAGTTTTTTTTCTTCTCTGAGTGAGAAAAAGAAATATTTGCTCACTATAGAAAGATTGGAGAATACCATATGCGGAAATTCACCAGTTCTCCTATTGCCTAGTGCTAACCACTGTAACATGCTACTTTGCCCTTTGTACCATGCTGTTGACCAGCAAGTTACCGTTCATATCACAGGTAGAGTGACAGGTCACGTTACAGATGGCAGCGGCTGAAGGGATGTGCACTGACTCTGGTGTGAAAGTCTCCATTTCCGCAGCCTGGTGCTCAGGGAGGCTGGGTGACAGAGTGGGAAGACCATGTCTCTGGAGTCTCTTTGACGTGAGTTATGAGTCAAGACTCCTGCTTCTTCATCAGTACCATGGAGATAGTAGCACAGCCTTCTTCAGGGGCAGCTCTGAGCTGTGGTGAGATGGTGGATCGGGAGGTTCAGTGAGTTGCCAAGTGAGTGGGTGTGACAAAACCTAACCTGCTGGCCTCCCTTAGCTGTGCTGCCCTTGGAGGAGTCCTTTTTTGTTGTTGTTGTTGGGAATATGCACAGCAAAATGTATACCAGTTCAAGTTTCCACATGGACAGGTCAGTGACATTTATTACTCTTGGAGTTGCTCAACAATTCTTACCCTCATTTTTGGAGTTGTTCCCACCCCAGTAACATAAACTTACTGTCCCCTAAAGTTCCTATTTAATCTTTTTTTTTTTTTT